CCACTCACCTTGGCCTCCCAAAGCGCGGGATTACAGGCTGAGCCACCGAGCCCAGCCAAGAACATTATTAATATTATTATTATTTTTGGGGGTGGAGTCTCATTGTCACCCAGGCTAGAGTGCAGTGAATAATATTTCAATTACCAAATTGGATAAATTGGTCATTATTATTTATATTATTGAGACAGAACTTTATGGTTGGTCTTCAACTAATGATGAATATTTTTGCTGTGTTTTTCTCTATCTCTGGCCATCATCAAGTTGTTAGTGATAAACATATTGAGGTACACTTAAAAAAAAACCAGCCAGGCGCGGTGGCTCATGTCTAATCCCAGCACTGTGGGAAGCAGAGGCAAGAGGATTGCCTGAGCACAGGGGTTCGAGACCAGCCTGGGCAACTTGGTGAGACCTTGTCTCCACAATAAATTAAAAAATTAGCCAGGCATGGTGGTGCACACCTGTGGTTCCAGCTTCTTGGAAATCTGAGGCAGAAGGATCTCCTGACCCCCAGCAGGTCAAGGCTACAGTGGCCATGAGCGTGTCACTGCACTCCAGCCTGGGTGACAGTGAGACTCAGACTCAAAAAAAAAAAAACCTGAAGTGAACCTTTCAATAATTCAAATAATCTTACCATATTTGTGAGATTTAGATATGTAAAGTATCTGTATCTGTTCTGTGCATGGACTGGTCACTGAGGTATAGCTGATAATCCTTCACTAGACTATATAATATACTTTTTTCTCAAGTTAATAGTATTCATTTATAGTCCAGTCTGGTGTTTTCCATTCTTCCTATGGTGGCAGTGAGATGCAATTCTTAATTCTTCAAGGTGGACAATGAAAATTTTCAGGCAATATCCTAAAAAATGTTTGAAATCAGACTAATTTCCTTTTGCTATTCACAATAAATATTTTAGGCTCCAGAATGATCCAATTTAAGAAACATGGGGTGATTATTCAAAATATCTGAAAACTCAATGTAAGTTTTCTTTTAGTGAATTTAGATATAGATTACCAAGTAGAATGGTTTAATATAATTTAAACGTCAGGCATTTTAAAAAATCATCTATTTTGTAATAAATAGTTGACCTGGTTTGCACCAGTGATGGAAACTGGTGAACTGAGGAAGTCAAATTTAGTTGTTCTTTTATATACTATGGGGACAAAAATTTCTAAAAACCCATACAACATGGGCCAAATAAAACACATATGCCCTAAGAAAAAGCATCCTGCTCCAGAAAGAAAAGAGCCTAATGGAGCTTTTCAAGTAAATGATATGGAGATTTTCTGCTCATGGGTAAGATTTTCTGCTCATGGGAAAGAATTATTCCCTCTCCAAGAGTGGAATTATGAATCTCATTTTTCTCCTGAATTTCATTTTCTGAAGAGAAGCATCTGACTGTGGGCTCTGGGCAGTCTCTACATAGAGGCCCTTCCTCCTTAATTTTGTAAACAACACAACTTTGTATATGCCTTCTCTCAACTGTGGTGTCTTTTCTAGACCTTCTTACAACTAACTTCAAAGAAATATATTTGATGGAATGAGTTCATTGTAAAATAATGACTGATAGCCCCTTTTAGAAGGAAATCTGTGGCTTCAGAAAGCCAAGAATGTGGAGTCAAAAGACGGGTTCTGTGACTTTCAAGCTTTTATACTTTAGTCCTTTTACTTGAGTCTCAGCTTCTATAACTGTGAAACAACCTGCATATCCCAGAGGACTATAGTGAGGTCCAAATATGAAATATATTATTTTAAAATGTACTTTTTTGATGAAAAATTTGAGGTTAAGGTTTGAGATGGGGGATAGAAAAATAGCTTCTACTTGAGAAAAGATAGAACATAATTCATTTTACATTTTCCTTTTTGCTTCTAAAGGTCATTTCTTCATTTGATATGATGGTATACTTTAGTGCTTTGTGCCTGCAAATTTCAAGACACCTTCATCTAAGTATCTTCAAGACTTCATGTCCTCAAGCACCTGAACAGGTTCACAAACATATTGACTAATAGCCCAAGGAAAAGAGGAGATGCAGTTAGGGGAACCTATGAGTGAAGGAAATCCTCCTGTGCGGAAAGCTAGTATACTATCATAAGGTTACATCTGAATATAAAACATAAGTTTTGCAGATTCCATTATGTCTATTTCAGTTATGAATCCCTCACTGTCTCCCATCCAAGTACTCTAAACAGGTCAGAGCCTGCTTAGCTTCTGAGATCAGATGAGATCAGGCACATGCACGGTGGTGTGGCTGTAGACTGAAACTTTCATTGTGTATCCCCATTTTTTATTACAGGTATTCTGAGAATAATAAAACCTATAATTAGAAACAAGACTAAAAAAAATAAATTTCAATCCTGGGGATAAGAAAATGAACCCTTGTAGTTCTAAATAGCAGTAATTTTTTTTTTTTTTTTTTTGGAGTCAGGGTCTTGCTCTGTTGCCCAGGGTAGAGTACGGTGGCATGATCATGGCTCACCGCAAACTCCTGAGGCTCGAACAATCCTTCTACCTCAGCTTCCTGAGTAGTGAGGACTACAGGCACACACCACCCATCAGCTATTTTTTCTATTTTTTATAGAGATGAGTCTTGCTAGGTTGCCCAGGCTGGTCTCAAAACCTAGTTTCTTTGTCTCTGAGAAATATTTAGCAGACACAGGGCTTTCACTGCCAAAGGATTACATAAAAATTCAGAACTTAAAGTTATGTTTAGCCATCCTGAGGGTACTTACTTTGATTGCAAAAAATTGAAAAGTGAGCTCATAATACTGCATAAGTGCATGGTTTATAATACTGTAATAATCACTGAGCCCAGTGGTGTGTTAGAAGAAAATTTTTTATAGTCATTTTTTAAAAAGGCATGTTAATTACTATGGTGTAAAAGAAAAAAATTTGCTTTAGTATACCAACTATCAATAGAATTTAAAAGGCCTACAGGAATTTTTAAAAATTTGTATTTAATAAAAAGAATTTGTTCTACCAGTTCAGAATGTATGAATCTTTATATTGAGGGTAACTTGTTTCTTGGTATTCTGAGTTAAAAATTTCATTGATTACAAAAAAGTGAACATTGAATGTTCCCTTTTATGCAAAATGAACAGTACCTAAAACAGTTGACATGTATGAAAATTAGTAACTTACAAAAATGTTAAAAATATCCTCCTTTTAAAATACCAGAGAAAGTTGCTTCAAGTACACATTGACTCATTTGAGGCGCTAAGGGATAAAATATCAGTTATTCAACCACTAAGTATACTTGGTACTGATTCTTTTCACTCTAAATGTATTTAGATTACTCATTATGACTATCAGAACTATCACAAAGATCTTTGGTGATTCAAATCTTTAGGTTACCATCTGACTATTTTAAATGTTATACAATAGTTTTGTAGACCATATGCCAAATAGTGTAATAATTAGAAAAATACGTAATGAATATGTACCACATCTGTCCTAGGCAAGAAAATGCATACTGAAAAAAACAGTCAAAGATGAAATTCATTAGAAGGAAAAATAGACTTATGTGAATTAAGTACACAGAAAATAAGTACTCTGGAGTACTTATTTTGCCTCTGTGATTATTGGTAAAACTTCTCAAAGACCTTCTTCTTAAACATTAGAATAGTACTTAAGATTTGTATTCTAACGTACTTTTAGGTTTTACAGTGTTCAAAAATGTAGGAAATAAATGTGTCCTCTTAATGTCAAATATTTGCTAGTGGTAGAGGCCAAATTTCTTCTTGTACACGTTATCACAGTTAGCAAGTTTTGTTTTTTAAAACTTGGAAAACATTAAAACTAAGGTAAAAGTGGGTTATAGAGGCAAAAATTAGAATTTAATACATGGAAAAGCAGGAGAATACTGCTTCTCTTCTCATGGGCATATTTTTTCTTTTGAATGATCCATTGAAAGCAATTTCAGCAAAAACAGTAAGTTTAACTGACTTAATTCAAACAAATGCTGAAACAATTTAACATTTATTAAAACAAGTGTTTATATATTAACTATATAAAAATGCACATTTTAAAAGGTATACAAATTACCTGTTCAGGTTTGAAAATGAATGTAAAATCAAATTTCCATATAGTACTGAATATTCAAATTGAAAAAACATTCTAGGTAACTTATCTTTAAAGACAGATGTGATGTGCTCAAACCATGAATTAGGTATGTTAATGATGTGTTTTGTGTTGTTTTTTTTTTTTTGCACATGCATGTTTATTGGCGCAATGATGTGTTTGATTGTTAATCGTTGCTAAGGGCATGTGTCATTTAATTGCAGACCAAGCCTAATTAAGTGCAATTTTTGATGGCTTTGTGGAAATGACATAGTCTCAAGTCCATGTCTTAAAACTGATTTTTATATATCTTGCTCAGTTGTTAATGATCTAATGTTCAGAGGTTATGATCGTAGCAATTAAATTTATCCTAGAACACAAACTTAAGTTCATCTTATTTTCTTAGAATTAATTCTATAACTTAAGTATACAGAAAAGGATATATATGTAAAATAGATTTTATATTCTTTTTTTTCCTTAAAATAAGAACTATGTAACCTTTTATGCTTGTGTTGTTCTACCTTTTGAGACTGATACAGATACACTGAAGCCAAACCCTAAAATTAAGTAATCTTTATTGCTAAAAGTTAATTGACAGTGTTAGAGAGAAAAATTCAGTATTACTAATAAAGAGCTGAAAGCTTGATACATGTAATTTAGGAATAGCTGTTACATTACTGTTTAGATTTTACTTGAAAATTAACAGAAAAGGCAGTTGTTGCACTGAAACAAGCTAATATGTTATAATTTAAGCTAGAATTTCCAAACCACTCTAAAGACTTATAACATGCCTCTTAGCTAATGTTGTAATTGTATCATATTACTTAGGTTCAAGTTCTTTCTTCAAAGAGTCATCAGAATAACACGGAATGAAGAGACTTTCGAACAATTGCCATCTCTTGCTGCTGCTGTTTCATGAAAGGAGATATTAAACATTTGTTTAATTTTTAGTTAAGTGTTATACCTATTTCAGCAAATAAAATATTTCACTGCTTATGTTAATACTTGTTTTTCCATTTAAAATCATGACTTACTGTTTCCATCATAATTTTTTTTTGCAACATAGCCATTTCTTTTTTAAGTTCATCTTGTGCACCAGTAAGTAGATTATCATGATTCTTCTCCAACTCCTCTATGCTCTAAAACACAAAAAGCTAGTTCAGTCACAAACCGCCACTTTTCATCTCAGGTTCTAAACTTTTACAGTTAATTTTGAAAAAATGAGAACTTTTTAATATCCAAGTAATACTCATTTATGCCAAATAAAAAATGTTCTACATAATAAAGACCAAAATACCTACAATAAGGAAAAAAAATCAGACATGAATCAAATATTATTATGGGAAGCACAACAGTAGTATACTTTGCGCAAAACAGTTAATGAACTTGCTATGGTCAAGATGGAACAATAACAACAAAAAGACTCAAAGTCTTGTATCAATAAATACCATAATTTTGAAAATTTCTAGTAAACTTTCCAAGTATCAGGTAATAATCCACTTACGACTAATAGTCAATGAGTCATAGATTCACCAGAGAAAACAAATGATCTGTAATATGACCTTTCAAGTTAAGAAAAACAAAAATTATGTTTTAAATCTTTCCTGTTCATTCAACAAATAGTTATCCTAGTACCCACTGTGTAAAAAGTACTATGTTAAGTGTGTGGAGAAATTTTAAAATAATGTAGATTGATCCCATATTCCAGTGAGAAACATATGAACAAAAAACCCAAAGATTTTATTATAGAAACAGAACTACAACTTTGCTGTGGCTATGTAGTGGAAAATGTAGATTAATTCCAATTTAGTTGGCAAAATAATATTTCATCAGATAAAGAGAAAGAAAGCCGTGTTCAGTGGCTCATGCCTGTAATCTCAGCATTTTGGGAGGTGGCGATGAGAGGATTGCCTGAGTTCAGGGGTTCAAGACCAGCCTAGGCAACTTATTGTAGAATAAATTGAAAAGTTAGACAAGCAGGGTGATGTGTGCCTGTGGTTCCAGCCACTTGAAAAGCTGAGGCAGAAGGATCACCTGAGCCCAGCAGGTCAGGGCTGCACAGGCCATGATCAGTCAACTGCACTCCAGCTTGAGTGACAGAGTGAGACTCTGACTAAAAAAAGAAAAAGGAGTTAAACGTATCCTAGAGAAAGAGAATAAACAAAAGCATGGGAATACATAGTTCAGAGAAAGCAATTATGTGGAAGGGTGGGGTAATGGACAAATGTGGTAAATGAAACTTAAAAAGAGTCATGTCATGGATGTCAAGATCCCCCATCTTGAATACCTAAGAATTTTATTTATTTATTTATTTATTTATTTGAGTTGGAGTCTCACTCAGTTGCCCAGACTGGAGTGCAGTGGCCGCTCCCAGCCACCGCAGCCTCCACCTGCTGGGCT